GATCTTAGAGAGATAGGATGGGACGGTATGAATTGGATTGATCTGGCTCAGGATATGGACCAGTGGAGGGCTCTTGTGAACACGGTAATGAACCTTCGGGTTCCATAAAATGCTGGGAAGTTCTTGAGAAGCTGTAGAATTGGCGGCTCCTCCAGAAGCACTCAGCTCCATGAGTAAAGTATATTATTGCTGGCCCTTACCAGTACAGTCAATCTTGGTTCTGGGTCCAGCGGGATCCAGGTCTCGCATTAGGCAGCGTGTCGTAATTGGGTGAGCAGAGGAACTGGGTGCTAGCCAATAGAAGATTGTTCCTTGCTGCTTGCTTGTGTAGCCCAATCATCGACTCTGATGATGACGTTAGAACGTTCCTCTGAAACGCCTGTGAACCAGGCCACATGGAGTAACATTTCAAAGGACATTACTTTTCATATTCAACGCCATGAGAACCTCAGATTTCTAATTAGATCCCAAAGATCAAACGTGGAAACAGGTACAGTCTTCTGCTTTGTTATACATAAAGGTAAAGCTATCTCTGTAAGAGGCCGTAGAGGCCCGTAGGGTTGTGAGACGTCGAGGCTCCCACATTTTCTAGACAATCGGCTTACAGATGGCGGTGAAGTTAAGTAAAGCTTTCCATGTAACCGGCTGTGGAGGCTCATAGGGTTGTGAGATGTTGGGGTTCTCACATTTTCTCTAGACAATCGGCTCACAGATGACGGTGAGGTTGTCAGCCTTACGCGCCGGCCGCCCTTTACCCACAGGGAGATTCCTGGTACTCATTTCTGTCAGTGGCTTAGTAGACCCTAGGGCCATAGCGCGGTTGGAAGAATTAGGTCAACTGAAAAAAATCCACCTCATCGGAACTCGAACCCGCGACCTTCCGGGTTATAGCATAGTGCCTCAACTAACTACGCTACCGCGTGCACCCTGTTATACCTAAGAACCTTAAAATAGTCCCAATTTGTTTAGCTTCCCTTCCTAGTACCATTTGCAATGTCAAACATAAAAATACCCCCCCCCTTTCGGAGAAGATTTTTCATTATTTATAGAAACGAGTTGGAGCGCCGGCGCAGTGTCAAGCCACGTGATCATTACTGCTGACGTCAGAGATGCGCGAGACGACCAAAATAAACACACCCACTGACAGAATTTTGCCAAGAACAGGCCGAAGCATTGATAAATAGCTGTAGCGGCAACGCCAGGGAAGTTCTCGGTTCAAATCTCGACCCAGATGCTGGCTATCCTGGCTGACGTTTCTCTTGGTTTTATTCAGTCCTCCCACAAGCCGCCCTTACGTTCGTTGTGATTATATATTACAAGTTTCGTGCCGAGTTGTAACATATCTTTTAAGCATTGGAGCCCGGATAGCTCAGTTGATATAGTGACTGGCTAGGGGCTGGACGGTCGAGGTGTCACAATTCGAATCCCGGTAGGAGCAAGAAATTTTTCTCTCTCGCTATATAGCCGCGGCACGGACCACACAGAAAACACATCCTTTATTGTCGATACATATTTACCATTACATAGCAACGGTCGCGGCGTGGACTCCATAGAATACGAGTCTCATGATAGCCATCTCGCTAGCCCATTGGCGTGCTGTTGCCTATCAACGGGCTCTAGACATTCGTGTTATAGTGCGCTTACTCGAGGTGTTAATCGCTCCGTTACCTATCTATTCACGTCGTCCAGACCTGCTCTGGGGCCCACCGAAGCTCGTATCAAATGGATACTGGGGGCTCTTTCCCCGGGGGTAAAGCCGTAGAGGCGTGAAGCTGGCCACTAACTTCCGTCTTGCGCCGAGGTCAAGAATGGTGTAGCTATATCCCTATACCATCATGTCTTTATGGCAGAGTGCTTAACTAATTAAGCACGGGGACAAGTTTACCTTTTACCCCTCCACTTGTCCGGAGGAACCGTTGAAAACTGTCCGTGTCCGAGCAGCTCCAGGGTACGAAGTGGAGGGCATACTGTCCCGACTGTCCCGACGAAAGTGAAAGGACATGAACGTCCGAACTTTCTCGAATGTTTATTCGCTGTTCGGTGTTTCGTCCGCACTGCAAGGACAGCTCGCATTCGGCCAAGTTCGGTGTTGCTCCAGTTGAAGCTTCGTGCTGCACTACCGGGATAGCTCAGTCGGTTCAGCGACTGGCTACGGGCTGGAAGACTGAGGAGTCGGAGTTCGAGTCCCTGTGGGGCAAGAATTGTCATTTCTCCACAACGTCCAGACCGGCTCTGGGGTCCACCCAATTTCCTATCCAATGAGTACTGGGGGCTATTTCCCCGGGGGTAAAGCGGCCGGGTTGAAACTGACCACTGACCTGCAACTACTGCCGAGGTCAAGAAATAGTGGATCTGTACATCCACTCCCCCATACGCCTTCATGGCATAGCGCAGGGACAATTTTACCTCTACCTTCTGCACTACTTCCAGTTTCATTCCTCTTCTGTTTCTGTCATTCACGTCTGAACGGCAAAAATGAATCCATTTTTGGCCTACTTTCCTTATTTAAAAAAACTAAAAGTAGATTTATGTGATCACCATGCTGTCTGTGTGTCTGTATATATCTCCTACCTATCAACTTTTGAATACCTGAACCGATCTTCATAAAACTTGGTATTACGGCACCTGAGCCCATCTCAAAGGCGTTCTTCGTGGATCTGTCCCCTCAGTGTGAATGTCTGTATATGTCTCTCCCATTGTTGCTAGGCAACGGCTAGAGTAAAGCGTCTCACTCCTTTCATTACTACGCAACGGCTCAGTAAAGTCGTTCCCGCGACAATGAATTGTTTCAATCGTCGTTTTCCATGCAGTCCGTGTCGTATTAAGGAAAATATGTGATTAGTTATTCCCTGAAATTCTTATATCAGACAAACATTCGACAGAATTCGTAGAATTTCCAAGGGTGACCTTCTGTTGTGTGCGACTAATGTAAAATATTCCATTCTGTAATCTTCCACAAAATAAAGGATGAGGCTTTCACTTCCTTAGCTTCTTTTTAGTCCTCGAAGTGAAAGTACAGGTAAATTAATGTAGGATTTTAGGTTATCACATTGGTGGTTATAAAGACTTCTATCTTGTGGAATATAACACCTTGTAGTGCGTTGAAAGTCAATTCATGTTTCGGAGAAAAATATCTCCATCTTCAAGGTCGAAGAAAAAGTCAAGAAAGAAACCAACATAAAGGACGCAGGAACATATCCTTCCAAAGACTTCGTTTGACTTTCAACGGACTACATCGCGTTATATCACAAAAGTTAGAACCCTTCTGGTAAATAAGCTTTACATGTGTAGATGTGGGGTGTGGGAGACAGTGAACCGCTCGTGAAGGTGACAAATTTATCCCTGTATCCCTGTATCCATGTATCATTCCGCGTGACGTCCTGCGCACTGACCGCAAAGTAACGCTAATATGATCTTAGGTTTGCAGTACACGGTACGCGCTGGACCGAAGTCCCAAGTACAGGGACTAGGAGACCAAAAGTTGAAGTTCTCCCTGTGATTAATTAATTAATCATCTTCCCATGAAGACGTATAGGGGAGTGAAGGGACTATTTCCCCAATTTTCTCATCTTAGAGTAATGTGGGAACCGTAATTAGAGGGTTTTTGGACTTTCTACTTCGTCTGATATTAAAAAAAAAATAGAGAAAATAACTATTCGGAAATTGGGTCTGTTTCCGTCTTCAGGTGATCGAGTAAGACACCTACTCTGCTGTGTCCCTTAGAAAGAGCTAACCTCAATCACAGAGCCAAATCCTTATGTGACAGGGAGACACCTACTCTGTTGGGTCCCTTAGAAAGAGCTAACTTCAATCACAGGGCCAGGTCCTCATGTGAGGGGGAGACAGCTACTCTGTTGGGTCCCTTAGAAAGAGCTAACTTCAATCACAGGGCCAGGTCCTCATGTGAGAGGGAGACACCTACTCTGTTGCGTCCTTAGAAAGAGCTAACCTCAATCACACGGCCAGGTCCTCATGTGAGGGGGAGACAGCTACTCTGTTGGGTCCCTTAGAAAGAGCTAACCTCATCACAGGGCCAGGTCCTCATATGAGAGGGAGACATCTACTCTGCTGGGTCCCTTAGAAAGGGCTAACCTCAATCACAGGGCCAGGTCCTCATATGAGAGGGAGACATCTACTCTGCTGGGTCCCTTAGAAAGAGCTAACCTCAATCACAGGGCCAGGTCCTCATATGAGAGGGAGACATCTACTCTGCTGGGTCCCTTAGAAAGAGCTAACCTCAATCACAGGGCCAGGTCCTCATATGAGAGGGAGACATCTACTCTGCTGGGTCCCTTAGAAAGAGCTAACCTCAATCACAGGGCCAGGTCCTCATATGAGAGGGAGACATCTACTCTGCTGGGTCCCTTAGAAAGAGCTAACCTCAATCACAGGGCCAGGTCCTCATATGAGAGGGAGACATCTACTCTGCTGGGTCCCTTAGAAAGAGCTAACCTCAATCACAGGGCCAGGTCCTCATATGAGAGGGAGACATCTACTCTGCTGGGTCCCTTAGAAAGAGCTAACCTCAATCACAGGGCCAGGTCCTCATATGAGAGGGAGACATCTACTCTGCTGGGTCCCTTAGAAAGAGCTAACCTCAATCACAGGGCCAGGTCCTCATATGAGAGGGAGACATCTACTCTGCTGGGTCCCTTAGAAAGAGCTAACCTCAATCACAGGGCCAGGTCCTCATATGAGAGGGAGACATCTACTCTGCTGGGTCCCTTAGAAAGAGCTAACCTCAATCACAGGGCCAGGTCCTCATATGAGAGGGAGACATCTACTCTGCTGGGTCCCTTAGAAAGAGCTAACCTCAATCACAGGGCCAGGTCCTCATATGAGAGGGAGACATCTACTCTGCTGGGTCCCTTAGAAAGAGCTAACCTCAATCACAGGGCCAGGTCCTCATATGAGAGGGAGACATCTACTCTGCTGGGTCCCTTAGAAAGAGCTAACCTCAATCACAGGGCCAGGTCCTCATATGAGAGGGAGACATCTACTCTGCTGGGTCCCTTAGAAAGAGCTGACCTCAATCACTGGACAACCCATGTCAGTACAACTACAGCTGTATAAATACCTGAGACCAGTCTTTTTAATGGGAAATAACATGAAAGTATGCATTTAAAATTGTGAAGAAGCATGGACAGACCTGAAACTAAGACAGGAAAGGAGGTGGAAATTTTATACAACAAACTTAACCAACAATCCAAGTCTATGATAACCAATGCATAGGATTTAGAACACCTGACGATGGATAAAGTATGAAAACCCAGTAATTCTAAATGTTGTACAGCATTGACAGAATGTCGCGATGGGAACCCGTTGAGTTTGTTTTCAGTTTTCCTCTATTCTGAATATGGCGGTGATGCGTCACACGGC